GACCAACTGGCTTCCGGGCTGTCCCCCGCGCCGCCTGATCGTCGCCGCCTGCCGCCCACCCCCGCGAGGGCCCCGCGACCGCAGCGCCCCCGTCGCCTTGCTCTTCCAGGGATTCCGAACGCGCTACTCGCTCACGGTCCCTGCCCCCCGCCGCCTCTTCCAGCCCTCCAGACCGGCAGGTGACTGGACGGGCCTTCGGGAACCGGCGCCGAGGGACTCGAAGGACCCCGCCCGCGGCGCGCGGGGCTGCGCCGAGCTCGGGGTTCCGCCTTCCCGGGGCCTGCGTTCTTTCCAGGCCGCGCTTAGCTCTTCCTCCCACACCGCCGCGACAATGTTTGTTCCCTGCGGGGACTCGGCCCCCGACCTCACCGGCTTCACCCTCCTGATGGTGAGTCTCCGCTGACGCTCGGGGATGCGCCCCCGGGAGGCGCCTGCGGCGTCGCCACCCGACCCGGGGTGTTTCACGGGGCCTTGGGAGAAATAGGACACTTGTCTCTATTTCAGGTTTTCAGCCCGGAAAAAAGAGCAGGGAGGCTGTCGCTGGAGGCGGCGGTCCAAACAAGGGAGAACCTTGGTTGGCGCTGTCACTAAACGTGTTCAAGCCGGCGCTGTCCCTAAACGTGTTCAAGCCTCCAGTCCGTAGTCTTTGCTGCCTGTAAATCGTAGTACGTTTGTATATTCCAGATACATTGTCCGTGTGTGGTGCGAGACATCCGTACATTTTATCCTAGAAGATCTTTTTTCAACTAATTTTAGAATCAGTCTTCAGCTTGCACGTCGTTGTCATTAACCAGAGAACTACTGATAGGGTAATGTAACCTTTGCCCGTAGCTAACACAATTTTATCGCTCTTACAATTACCCACATTCATCTTTTGTTTCAGTAAATATTCTATTTGCGAATGTACAGTAAGACTAGGTGCTGTTTTCAAGGAATTTACAGTCTAGTTGGAAACACAAGTCAGTCAATAAGAGCAATAAATCCTGGGAGAGATGTTTGAAACGGATACAGAAAGGTCGTGAGATAATCGGGAGGAGGAAATACACGAGAGCCTTAAGAAAAGCGTGGTAGAGAAGGTGATGTCTAAAAGACCGAAGGGGCTTACTTGGCGAGAGTGCGGTATTGTAACACCAAGATCAAGGATTCGGGTCCCTGTACCAGCCAGCCTCCAAACAAACAAAGAAAACATAGAAGGGGGAGAGGTCACGAGTAGGGCATTTCAGAAAGATGGATGTCTGAAAGAGGCACGTAACCATATGGGGATCTGGGGACTGCAAAGAGTTTGGAGTGACACATTGAGAGGATAAGCTGGAGGTCCTGTGAACCGGGAAGATACCATTGGAGAATGAACTGTTTTTGTTTTGTTTTGTTTTTTTAAAGATGACCGGTAAAGGGATCTTAACCCTTGACTTGGTGTTGTCAGCACCAAGCTCTCCCAAGAGAGCAAACCGTCCACCCCTATACAGGGATCCAAACCCGTGGCCTGGGTGTTATCAGCATCACACTCTCCCAAGTGAGCCACGGGCCGGTCCCTGAACTGTTTAAACAGGCGGGAGAGAGACAGAATTATCAGTCTTTTATTTTTTAAATATCAAACACTTAAACCCAGAGAAGAGAGTATTTCAAAAAGGAGGGAGTGGCCATCTATCAAAAATAGCCAAGAGGTGGTTTAAGATGAAGAAAGTATTGGTTTGTATTTAGCAACGTGTAGGCTAATGGTGGTCACCTGGGCAAGCAGATGCCTGTGGAGTGGTGAAGAGGGAAGCCATACTGGAGTGGGCTGAATAAATAGAAGAGGAGGGAGAGGCATGTCTATTTATTAATTCAGAGATAAAGTTTCTGCTTATGTTTTAGTGAACAACTGTTGGAACATTTTGGCTATGTAGAGACGCTAGAAATGAGGTGGCAGCTAGGGGAGTATGTGGGGTCAAGGGAGGGTTTTATATGAATGAAAGATATTAGAGCATGTTTACATACTGATGGTAATAATCCAATAGTGAGGAGAAAAGGGGTGATACAGAAGAGTGTAACCAAACTAGCAAAATCTTTGAGAAGGGAACTACAGGAAGTAACTAAGGGATTGGTTGATGACGGCAATGAGAGGTGGGAGAACACTGAAGGAATACTCTGAAGGCCAAAAAAAAAAAAAAAAAGCAATTGCTGGAAGAATGGAAAGGAGTTACATTAAAGAGATAGATGGTGGTTTTAAGGGAAAAGGAAGTAGTTTCCTGGTTTAGGTAATTGAGTGAATAACGTTGCTCTTTTCTGAAATACAAAATATGGGAACAAGTTTGGGCAAAAGTTTAGTTTTGCATATGTTGAGTGTGAGTTGCCTGTGGCATGACCATGTAGAGATATATGCATTAGGTTCTGGAGCTCAGATAATTGTTCTAGGTTGTAGGTAGGTATAAGGTAGTTTGGCTATTTGAAGTCATGGGGATGAGTGTGTGTTGTAGGAGCCAAGGGAAACTTCCCCTTTATCCCCTGAAGGTTTTGCTGAAAATCAGCTGACAAAACACAGATTAATTAGGAGAAAAGGCTTAACAAATTTTATTTTAACTTGCATAGCCTGTGGGAATCACAGAATGATGACCCAGTAGCCCAGCGGGATATAGATGCTTATATACCCTTCTTCATAGGGGGAGGGGAGATAGGGTATATGAGTAAATGATTTTTAGAAGAGTTCAGTGGGTTTGGAGAATATACAGTGGCTGGGACAAAATCTGTTGGGCCCACAGTGCAGACAATGACTGGTAAGTTATTTTCTTTGAAATTCTTAATTGGACTGAAATAGAAGACAATTGTTTGTGACAAAAGTCTGTCTAGGTGTGTTGACAGACCAGTCTTCCTTCCTGTGACATGAGGTAAGTTAGTGAAAACTCAGGAAAAAGGATCAGAGGGTTACTTGGCAGGTCTGGGCTTCAGGCAGATAAAAGAACAGCTTTATTCTGTGCTTTGGAGAGAGACAGAGGATTGGGACATGGTGGGTAAGGAGTGGTGGCAGGGATGAGAGACCATGAGTCTGCTTCTTTAGTCCAGCCTGTCAAAGCACCATATTTTGGGGGTATTGTCTTCTGGGCCTCACAGTGTATTCAATGTGAAAAGAATGTCACTACAGCCTTTGAGAGTGGGTAGAAAAGGAAAAGAGAAAGAAGCTAACAAAGCAAAGAGAAAGAAGACCCAAGAGTGCTTTTGTTTATAACCTCACAACCTTTACATTTGCTTTCCCACTGCCTGAAATATTCTTTTCCCAGGTCTTTGTATAGCTCTCTCCTTTATCTCTTTCAGGTCTGTAGTCATTTGTCACCTGAAGTGAATCTTTCCTCAATCACCCTATTTAAAATTGCAACAAACCACATACTCATACACTCACACTTTATTTTTATCCATAGCCCTTACCAATGTATATTTTACTATTTATTTAGTTTATTTCAGGTAAACTACTCCCTCAATAGAATGGAAACTCCATGAAGGCAGGAACATTTGTTGGTTTGTTATGTTGCATTCCCAGTGCTAGAGCACCTATGTAGTAGGTGTTCTTAAAGGTGGTGGAGGGCCCAGCTGACATCTCAGTTTCAGCTAATGAAAGAGTCAGTATCTAGCTATGATGCACGTGGACATAAATATTCAGTACTAGTGCTATGATTGTTTTTTCTGTCTAAACTGTTTACAGTGCTGCTACTTTTGATGACTTATTAAACATATCTTTTATGATTTCAGCCAGCAGTATCTGTTGGAAATGTTGGCCAGCTTGCGATAGATCTGATTATTTCTACACTGAATATGTCTAAGATTGGTTACTTCTATACTGATTGTCTTGTGCCAATGGTTGGAAACAATCCATATGCAACTGCAGAAGAAAATTCAACAGAACTCAGTATAAATGCTGAAGGTAGGTAAGACTTCAGCATGTTTTGTTCTACTCCAAGGTAGAATTGTTTTAAATTAGATAGAGACTCTATGGGTACTGTTTTGAAGCTAATGTTTGCTTGGTGCCAGCTTTGTATAGAATTCACAACCCAATCACATTGTCCTATTCTTTACATTCTGGTTTTAGTTCTTAGCCTTTTCTAAATGGTAACTCCTATGAAGGTTGTGAATACTGCCTATACTTGTATTTTTAGATAGAATTTAAGATTTCCATTTTTTTCAACATGGATCTTTTTTTCTCTTTAATCTTCAGGTTTTTTTTTTTTCTGTTCTTCTTGGCACATGTAACCATCACTAATACTACAGAAAGGGGAAAAGAAAATTCCACTGGGCTCAGTCCTATATGTATAATGTGTGCTACCTCATCTAAGCCTCATAGTCATCCTCTCATGTTATTATAGAATTCATAATAATATGATATAGATAAGGCTCAGAGAGATGGAGTTGCCTGATGCCACTAGTAGGTATAGGTTTTTCCCATGCCATAAATCTGCATAGTTCCTCATGAACAGTCAGGCTTGATTAATTAGGGAACACAGTTTACACTGCACTGACCACTGTTTGGTTATAACACAGTGTTTTAGTCCGTTTTGTGTTGCTATAACAGAAATACCTGAGACTGGGAATTTATAAAGAAGAGAGGTTTATTTGGCTTACAATTCTGGGACAGCTGCATCTGGCATGGGCCTCAGGCTGCTTCTACTCGTGGTGGAAAGTGGCAGGCAGCCAGCAGGTACAAGCAGATCACATAGCAGAGGAAGCGAGAGAGAGAGAGAGAGAGAGAGAGAAGGTGCCAGGGTCCTATAAACAACCAGCTCTCACGGGAACTCATAGAGCGAGAACTCACTCATTAATTCCCCCTCCCCCAGGGAGAGCATTAATCTATTTGTGAGGGATCGGCCCCATGACTCAGTTTCCAACACTGCCACAATGGAGATCAAATTTCCATATGAGTTTTTGGGGGGACAACACATCCAAATTCCATCTCACAGGATAGCAGCAAGTGAGTTGGAGAAAAGCTCCAATGTGAAGCACAGGAATATCCAGTTACTTCATTCGATGGCTAACTGCTCTCATGCCTGCTCAGCCTTTTTACCATTTTAAGGTCAAATCCAAAGTTGATAGTGGAGAATGAAAGGCTGTTGGTGGATTGAAAAATAAATGAAGAAACTTTTTGGTTTTTGGCAGTCTTATTACCATGTAATTGTTCTTAGCTTGCAATAATGAAGCGCACTTTTAAAAAATAACCTTATTATTGAAATTCGTGCAGAAAAGAGGGCTTGTTAACACAAAACTAAATTTCAGTTATTGCCTTAAAGGATAAAGGACTATAAATGGTAGAACTAGAATTCATATACTTTCCACTAATGATAACAACTATCATTTATTGAGTATATACTAAGAGCTGAACACTATGTGCATTTACATGTATTAATTCATTACTCTTAATGAATTTTTATACTCTCTAAGGTAGTTTCATAGATGAGGAAACCATGGCACAGAAGAGTTAAGTAAGTTGTTCCAAGTCACATGATTAATAATTGGTGTAACTGAGATTCTAATCAATGCAGTCTGGCCCCAGAGACCTGCCTTTTAGCGTCATATCACCCTGCCAGTGCACCTTCACTCGAGCAGAAGATCCGCTGGCTTTCTTCTAACACACATTGGCAACAAGTCAATTGTATGGATATAGCTCTTTAGTCCATTTTTTTTTAAGATGAGGTATTTTGAAATAAATCATAGACATCTTGATATTCTCCCCTCTAATATATGAATATGCATCTCTTAAAAGATAGAACATTTTCTTTTTTTTTTTTCTTTTTTGTCTTTTTTCGTGACCGGCAACGGATCGCAACCCTCAG